CCAGCCCCCTCTCCCCAACCCCTTGTACTTACCAACTTGGGACTGCCCGAATCCTCAAAGCTCTCCAAATCTTTGAATCTTTTAATGGTTCGGACCTTTAAATTAGTCTCCTGATTTGATTCAGATTTGGAGATTCGGCCACCGAATCGGGCTGAATCTCCTCTGAATCAAATCACCACCCGAAGCTTTGCACAGCCCTACCAGCCACCTCTCAAGGAGGCCTGACACTTGCCTGCCAAAGAAAGTCTACTATGGTGAACTGTCAAATGGAGTACACTTTTGCAGCACACCAAAGAAGCAGGACAAGGACACCCTAAAGGTGTCCCTAAAGAGTTTTGGCATTGACCCAGAGTCGTGGGAGCAAATAGCTCGCGACCATCCATCCTGGAGGTCCTAAATCCAGAACGGAGCATTGGCCTTTGAACAGCAATGCACGGCAAAAGCAACGAAGAAACGAGTGGTCAGGAAAACTAAAACCTCCCGTATCCAGTCCTCATCACTCTCCTGCCCCTGCTGCAGCAGATTGTTCAAAGTGAAGATCGGACTTACAAGTCACCTATGTACTCACGTGACAGCCTCCACCCCCCTTTGTTCTCTTCCCTTTCCCTTTTTTTGTCTTTTTCTCTTTTCTCCTTCCCTTTTTCTTTCCCAGTTCTTTTCTCTCTTCTTCCCTTCCCTCCCCCTGCTGGATGCAGTCGTCTTTGCCTGTGAAGGACGAAAGTATTACTGTGACCTAATTGGATTTGCTTAACATTGTTTTGCTTAAAGTCGCGTTTTTCAAGAACAGCACCACGACGTTAAGCGAGGAGTAGACATATAAATAACTGCATGCTCAACATCTGAGCTGTGTTTCAGCCCACCAGTTGTTCAGCAAATAGAGCGAACCTCATTTTCAACGGTGCTCAAACCAACAACTTTCAACAGCACCAGAGTTGGACATAAACTGGCATAACAGGAAAAATTCTTAAGTGCTGCTGATGACTTTTTTTTTTTCTTATTTTCTATTTGTCTGTATTGATTTCCTGTACTCAGCTTCTGCTACAGCACCAATATCTGCAGCCACTTGAGCACCGCCTGCTTATTCTGCATCTGTCCTGGGACAAAAAGATTTGGCCGGACACGCTCAAACCTGTTGTGGGTGCTGAGATACCGACACAAAATACCTGCAGACTCTTCTACGTCTGGAGAAGGGCATTTATGCTCAAAAGCTTGCAAAGAACAATTTTTCCAGCTATTTAGTGGCTCTAATAAACAGGGATCCTGGTTTTTTTCTGATTAAAAAAAAGCCCCAAATCCACATTTGTATGTAGGTTTAAATGAAACAGCACTAATATATAGATATGTATATACCAATGTTTCATTCTGACCATGGAAAAATTTGGATTTGAGGTTACTTTTTTTAACCAAAAATTGGGGATTTTTTTTTAAAATCAGGGAAAACCAGGATCCCTCCTAATACATCAGATCACATGTACGCAGACGCCCAGGGAGCGGCGTGCCGAGCGCGGTGCTCCCCAGGGTGCCGCACGGCCACGTGGCCGAGGCGGGCTATAGAGCTGCATTGCCCGAGCCGCACGCTGCTCTACTGCAGGGGCCGGGCCAGCACCTGACTTACAGGCGCGATAGCCAATCGCGAAGCCTTTCAATCGGGGACTCCGCCCCCCTGCCGGGCAAAACGCGCCCAATCCCTGCGCGGGAGCTTGAAGGATCATCCCTTGCAGTGTCCGGCAGTCAAACGGGCCAATCACCTTGTAAGAGTGCGCCCACCAATGGGATCACAGAGGCAGCCGAGGAGGGGCACGCGATTGCTCGCGGCCTCTATCCCTCTCCCCGAGCGAGCCTGCTGATTGGCTGCCGCGCGCTCGGGGGCGGTTTCCGGCGGGGAAGGTATATAAGGGGCGGACAAAGGCGGCGGCGAGGCCGTTGAGCTCGCCGCCATTTTGCGCAGTAGGCTCTGAGAAGAAACAGACGCGCGTCATGTCTCGGGATCGGTTCCGCAGCCGCGGCGGCGGCGGGGGAGGCGGTTTCCACCGGCGCGGTGGCGGCGGCGGGCGCGGAGGCCCCAACCACGACTTCCGCTCCCCGCCGCCCGGCATGGGCCTGGGCCAGAGCCGCGGG